GCGGTGGTGGTGCTGGTGCTGCTGCTGGTGTTGGTGCTGTTGCTGGGGGCGGGAACGCTTGGCGGGACAAGAGCAGCAGCAGCAGCAGCAAGCGTCAAGGGGCCCCCGCACCAGCAGCAACAGCAGCAGCAACGGTTTGTGCTGCCGCCTAGGCCGGTGATAGAGGGACCTCCTCAATCCCTTTCTAAGCTTAGAGAAGCAGCACTTGCTGCTGTCAGTATCTTTGCTGCTGCTGCTGTTGCTGCTGCTGCTGCTGCTGTTGCTGCTGCTGTTGGTCCTCCTGCTGCTGTTGGTACCGACGTTGCTGCTGTTGCTGTGTGCCTACCTGCCAGTTCTCCTCCCTGAATATTTGCTGCTGCTGCTGCTGCTGCTGCTGCAGACATCATTGCTGCTGCTGCTGCTGCTGCTGCTGCTGCAGACGTCATTGCTGCTGTGCTGCTGCTGCTGCTGTGCTGCTGCTGCTGCAGCGCGGGCTGCTGGAGGAGACCCCGAAGCCCCCAGCTGGGCCCGAAGCGGTGCGGCGCCTCCTTCAGTATAAACCTTGTGGGGAGACAGCAGCAGCTGCAGCTGCAGCAGCAGCAGCAGCAGCAACTGCTGCTGCTGCTGCTGCTGATGGTGCTGGTGCTGCTGCAGGAACTGCAGCAGCAGATGCAGCAGATGCGCCAAAGTGCTTTCGGCGGCTTCAGCTGCTGCAGTGGCGGCGCGAGCTGCAGCAGCAGCAGCAGCAGCAGGAACTGCAGCAGCAGCAGCAGCAGCAGCAGCAGCAGCAGGAGAGTTTCTCTCGTGTGGAGACACCAAATAAAGGGGCAGCAGAGGGGGCTGTCTTGCTGCCTGTAGCGGGGCCTAAAGGAGACAGCAGCAAGGGCGAAGCAGCAGCAGCAGCAGCAGCAGCAGCAGCAGCAACAGCTGCCGCTGCAGCGCCTGCTGCTGCAGCATCGTCTGCTGATCTGACAGCAGCAACACCACCTGTTGCTGCTGCACGCACCAGCACCAGCAGCAGCAGCAGCAGCAGCAGCAGCAGCAGCAGCAGCAGCAAAGATACGGAGACAAAGAGATACCCAAGTGAGGCGATGAGCCCGGGGCTGAAAGGAGACAGCTCTCCTAGCCCCACCCCCCCCCACATGCGAGGAGACAGCAGCAGCAGCAGCAGCAGCAGCAGCAGCAGCAGCAGCAGCAGCAGCAGCAGCAGCAGCAGCAGCAGCGGTATTACAATAGAAGTTCATATAAAGGAGACATTCAGCTGCCAAATGAAAGGAAGAGAAGAGCAGCACAACCAGCAGCAGGAAACATCTCTAGCTGTGAGGGTCTCTTGCTGCTGCTGCTGCTGCTGCTGCTGCTGCTGCTGCTGCTGCTGCTGCTGCTGCTGCTGCTGCTG